GCGTCCTGGATTCTGACGGTCCCGTTTTCGCGGGACGTCTGCAGCGGGAGTCCCGGTCAAATTTCGAATTGGGCCTCGTCGTTTTTAGGATGGCCTCCGTCAGGCCAACCCGAGCCCCCCGTGCCCGAGTCTCACGTCTCCCCGAAACTGGGCCGCTGGGCCCGGAGAAGGCTTCAGCCAGCAGCTCCCCGAACGCCGCGTGCCCAAACGGGCCGGTGGCCAAAATTTGAGCGCTCCGCCCCCCACTGGGCCGCCAGGCCCCGGTCAGCGGACGATTCAGACACCGGCCCGCGAACCGCACCTCTGCGCCCCGCTGGGCCTCGGCAGCGGCGCCCCCCCCTGGGCGCTCCGCGCCCCCAGGTTGGGGCGCTGAGGCCGCCCCCGGCCACTCGCGGGTTGCTCGAGGAGCAAGACCTGCTGCCCGTCCTTGACTACCCACTCCTGGAGGAGGAGGAGGAGGAGGAGGAGGAGGAGGAGGAGGAGGAGGAGGCGGAGGAGGAGGCGGTGGAAGGAGGAAGCGGAGGAGGAGGGGCGGAGGAGGCGGAGGAGGCGGCGGAGGAGGAGGAGGAGGGAGGAGGAGGAGGAGGAGGAGGAGGAGGAGGAGAGGGTTTGGCCTGAGCACCCCGCAGGACACACCCGATACCGAACTCTTGTTTTGAGAGGCCAGACCCCAGGCGCGCGATCAGAGAGCGCCGCGACACCACGTGTCAACATAGTTGTCAACATAGCGAGCGAGCGAGCGAGAAAGGAGGAGGAGGAGGAGGAGGAGGAGGGGGAGGGGGAGGAGGAGGAGGAGGAGGAGGAGGAGGAGGAGGAGGAGGAGGAGGAGGAGGAGGAGGAGGAGGAGGAGGAGGAGGAGTAGGAGAGGAGGAGGAGGAGGAGGAGGGGAGGAGGCGGGGGAGGGGGAGGGGGAGGGGGTGGAGGAGGAGAGGAGGGAGAGGAGGAGGAGGAGGAGGAGGGAGGAGGAGGAGGACGAGGAGGAGACGCGGGAGGAGGACGAGGAGGAGGACGGGAGGAGGAGGAGGAGGAGGAGGAGGCGGAGGAGGAGGAGGAGGAGGAGAGGGGGAGGGGAGGGGGAGGAGGTGGAGGAGGAGGAGGAGGAGGAGGATGGAGGAGAGGAGGAGGAGGAGGAGGAGGAGGAGGAGGGGGGGGTGGAGGAAGGAGGTGGTGGAGGAGGAGGAGGAGGAGGAGGAGGAGGAGGAGGAGGAGGAGGAGGAGGAGGAGGGGAGGAGGAGGTGGAGGCGGAGGAGGAGGGGAGTGGGAGGCGGAGGAGGAGAGGAGGAGTGGAGGAGGAGGGAGGAGGAGGAGGAGGAGGAGGAGGAGGAGGAGGAGGAGGAGAGGAGGAGGAGAGGAGGGGGAATGGAGAGGGGGAGGAGGAGGAGGAGGAGGAGGAGGAGGAGGGGGGGAGGAGGAGGGAGGAGGAGGAGGAGGAGGAGGAGGAGGAGGCAGGCCAGGCGGGGACTGCTCGGGGGGCCTGTCGAGGACAGCCGGGGCCGCCCGGGGAGGGCGCGGTCCCTAGCCTCATCGGCCGAGCGCCGGCCTTGGGAGTTTCGGGCTCGAACTTCTCGCCAGGGGCTTGTCGATTGCTGCCGCCCCTCGGCTCGCGCTGGAGCGGCCGCAGTAGCCCCCCGGGGGATCCATGGGCTTTCGTGGGCTCAAAGACATGAATGGATGTGCCAGGAGTTGCCTGGGGGCACGCACTGCTCATTCCCAATCCTTCGAACGTTCTCTGATTTTTTGGGGGGGCAGAACTCTCGCATTTCTGATTGCTCTATTCTGGGCCCCTTCCTGGGACAATCAGAAATGACCGCGACTAGAAATGAACGACGTGTGCTTCGATCGATCGGCATTTGCCACGGTTGCTCCAGCTTGACCCCCACGCGTTACGCAGTCGCGAGAAGTCGTCAGTCCCCAAGGGAGCCTTCGAGGCTCCCGGGGGAGTCCTCGGCGGCCTCCGGCCTCGGGCTGCGCTCCAGCAGCCGCGCCTCGTCGAGGGGCGCCCCGGGGTCTGCCCGCATCGCCCCGAAGGGCCGCCCGGGGCCCGGCGACATTCGGCGGCGGGGGTCATCGAGCACAAGAGAAGCCCTGACCCCGAGAGCAGGGTGAGGACGTGGTTTCACTGAGGTCCCCGTCTGCGCACCGAAGGTCATCGTTCTGGCTGCCTTGGTCTGACGCACCTGCCGAAAGGGACGCCCTGTGCCTTTGATGTCTCTGGCCCTCCTCACTTGGGTCCCCTCCCAACGGGTCAGGGGTCCTTTTTGGGCTAGTCAGGGGGGCTTCTCGCTTAGGTCCCTCCCCTCCTCACTTAGAGGTCCCCTCCCACTTAGGCCCTCCTCACTTAGGTCCCCTCCCAACGGGTCAGGGGTCCTTTTTGGGCCTAGGCAGGGGGGCTTCTCAGAAGCCTCGCCGTGGGCTGCGGCGGGGGGCAGGCCTCCCCGGAGGGCGGCGGGGCTCCCCGGAGGCCCAGGCAGCCCTCCGGCGAGCCCCGCGCGCCCGCGCCTTCGGGGACGTCTCCGGAGCCTCCTCGGAAGCCCAGTCCTCTCGTGTGGGGTCCGAGTCGATGGGGTCGGAGCATCGCTCCACATCGACGACGCATCGGCCATGCGGCCCGACGTGGGGCCCGAGTTTCTCCATGCAGGTGGCGCCGACGCCTCGCCGACGTCTCCGATGCATCCGCGAGGCGGCGCCCATCCATTCGGATCCCATGGAGGGCGCTCTGAGGAGGACAGAGGCCTCCTGGGCCGTCTGAGCTCTCTGAGGAGGACTGCCCCCTTCCGCCTTCCCGGTCCCTGGCATGCGACGATGCGTTCATCTTCAATCCACGGCCCCTCCTCCTCCTCCTCTTCCTCCTTTTGCTCCTCCTCCTCCTCCTCCTCCGCTTCCTGCTCCTTCTCCTTCCCCTCCACCACAGTCCTCCCCCGTCTCCTCCTCCTCCTCCTCCTCCTCCTCCTGCACCTCCTCTCCTCTCTCTCCGCCTCCTCCTCCTCCTCCTCCTCCTCCCCCTCCTCCTCCTATTCTCAGGGTACCCATACTCCTCCTCATCTTCCTCCTCCTCCTTCTCCTCCTCCTTCTCCTCCTCCTGACCCCCAGGACGACAGAGTAGCGCAGGAGGCCCCGGACGCCAAGGCCAGGGCCAGGGGGGAGGCCGCCGCGGCGCTGCGGAAGGGGGCTCAGGCGGCGCCAGGGCCCGCGCCGGCGGCGCCGTGGTGGGCGCCGCTGGTGTGCTGCGGCAAGTGATCGCCGCGAGGGAGTGGAGCGGAGTGACCCGCAGCAACTCCTCCTCCTCCTCCTCCTTCGCCTCCTTCTCCTCCTCCTAGCCTCCCCTCCTCCTCCTCCTCCTCCTCTCCTCGCCTCCTCTTCTATTCTCAGGGTACCCATACTCCTCCTCCTCCTCCTCCTCCTCCTCCTCCTCCTCCTCCTCCTCCTCCTCCTCCTCCTCCTCCGCCAGAGTGGGTATCCAGAGACGGACAGCAGGTCTTGTTCCTTCTGAGCTGGGCTCGCTGTCGGCGTCGCCGCGAAGGGGGTGGCGAGGGAGTGGAGCGGGCCGCAGCAACCAGCGCATCCCCAGGTGAACGACGCAGAAAAGCGGGGTCGCCTTCGCCGAAATTTGCGCGTAAGCTTCTCGCATAAGGTCGCGCGTAAGCGCACTCGTTTTCAGCGCAGGGTGCCGCGCTGGTGGTCCGCGTAAGCTGCGGCGTACGGCCGCTATGTCATCTCGCGTAGGACCCGGTTCTGATCCAGCAGTGGTTCCGACCAGCAGAAAGGGGAGGAAGGGGCCTTCTGTATTTTTCGGGGGGGCTCTCCGTTGCTTGGGGGCTTCCTCCGTGTTTTTTCAGGGGGGGGGTCCTCCCTCTTGGTTGGCGGCCTCCCGGGGGCGTCCCGTCGCCGAGGCTGGACGCGGCCCGAGCCACTCGGCGCGCTCGGACCCCTTCGGGGGGGGTCGCGGGGCCGAGCCTGTGCGGGTCCGGCCTCCTCCCCCCCCGCCGCTTGGCCGACTGTCTCGGGGCCCCTTCGGGCGCAGAGCTCCTGGCCGCCTCCGCGCTCGCGTCGCGAGGCAGCGCCGCGAAGCGGAGCCGTCTCGCCCCGTGCTTGCGGCAGCGGCTGGACCTGAACGGTGTTCTGCCGATTTGTTGTGGGCCGGTTTCGTCGAATCGATGTCGTTTTGCGGCAAAGGCGGATCGAGACAAAGTGAGGGAAACCGAAAACATAACGAAAACGAATAACACCGTCTAGGTCTAAGTGGGGCCTGTCCCTCTACAGGGGGAATATTCAAAAGTAGTCCAAACATAGTCTGGGGACGACGTTTTGAGTATTCTTGGGCATCTTTTGAGCATTTTTTGCGTATTTGTTGTATTTTTCGTCCAAAATCCCCTTGTATGGGGACAGGCTCGACTTAAGTTTAGGTTCAGCCCTGCTCTCGCGGCGTGTGTGCGGGGGCCTCGCCCCGGTGCCGCCGAGCTTTGATTCGAGGACGAGCAGCCGGCCCGGGGGAGAGTCGGGAGGGAAAAATACACACAGACACAATTAATCTTCGATTCCCCAGAGAATATGGGAACAGATGGGAAGTGGGGGGAAGACAAAAACCCAGAACATATGGGAAACTATGGGGAGTCCTGTCACTTGTGTCTATTGATCTGGGTGTCTGATAGCCCCAGTCTCGGGGAAATCGAAGCACCCGATGTCCGGGTCGATCCCGAGGGAGTGGTCCGATCAGGGGGCAACGTTAGAGGGTAGGATAATTAGGCTCGGGGGGGGGGCGCATCGACCCTCCCTGATCGCCCAATCATCGCCGATGGGGCCCCATGACCCACCCGCCCATTCATCGCCGAAACGGTCCCGAGGGAGTGGACCGCAGCGACGAGTGCAAGACTTCGGCGATTAGGACACAAGCGCAAACGCAGCTTCATCGGAGCGCCGCGCGAACCTCCGATAGCGTATGTTTGTGCAGCCTTCTCCTCTCCCAGACATGCGACGTCCTGATTTGTTCAATGCAGGGTCCG